TGTCCTATGAAGCTTTAAAGGATCCCATGTCCATGATTCCCTGTGTTGACAGTGAGGAAGTCAGACATGCTAGTCTGTTGAGCCTGTACAACTCTTTCCCACCTGCTTGGGTTCTGGCGATGGTATTTGCTAAGTACATTACAAGGACTGGCTTGTCATGTGTTTTCACAGAACACTGGCTCCCGGCCAATCTGTTTAGTCTTTTTTTTCTTCTTGCATAAAATTGCCTATTTTTCACTTCAGATGGGGGTGTGAGGCAGTTCTGAGGTGGGTTTTTTTTTCTTGTTGCACACACACCATCTGTGGTCTCCTGGCATCTCAGACAAGTTCCCAGATTGTCTATGGTGCCGGTTGGTCAGCACTCAGAGTGTTCTGGATCCTAGCCTAGGCTTGTCCCTGTTTGAATACAGCACCATGGCAATCATCTCAAGTACTGAGTATTGATGCTGTGGGCTAAGTGTGTTTTTTATTTTAAATAAATTCTGCAAAGGAAGTTCAGAGAGCCTGCAGTGTCCTGCCTGCATCACTCACCAGGAACGAACATGGGAATGTCACTATAGGCAGAAATTCATGCTTTGCTCAGTACTTAACTGGTGGTTCTCCAGTGTCCATTTCCTGTTACGAGCTCTACTCTGGGATGCCATGTTACTCTTAGCCTCAAGCCTTTTACCTTAAAGTAGTTGACTAGGTGTTTATTTCTTCACCTTTTGTTTTGTTTTGTTTTGTTTTGTTTTGTTGAGACAGGGGCTCATGTAATTCAGGCTGACTTGAAACTTCCATTCAGCCAAGGATGACCTTGAAGTTCTGATCTTACTTTCTCCACCTCCCAAATGCTGCGACTACAACATGCCCACAATGTCTGGTTTTATGCAGTGCTAGGGAACTAACCCAGGGCTTCATGCATGCCAGTCAAGTTCTTTAGTTTTGAGGCATTGCCTTAGTTACTCTTCTATTGTTGTGACAAAACACTGTGACCAGTGCAACTTACAGAAGGAAGCGTCTCATTGGGACTTAAAGTTTGAAAGGGTGAGTCTATCACCATCATTGCAGGAAGCATGGCAGGGTGCAGGCAGACATGGTGCTGAAGAAGGAGCTGACAGTCCTACATCTAGATACAGGGGCAGCAGGAAGAGAGTGTCACCACACTGGATATGGCTTGAGCTTCTGAGACTTCAAAGCCCACCCTCTAGTGACATACTTTCTCCAGCAAAGCCATACCTTCAACAAGGCCACTCCCTATGGCCAAACATTCAAACATCCGAATCTGTGGGGGCCATTCCTATTCAAACAGGTGAGTTTAGAAAACAAGACCACAGAGTAAAGGGTTTTTGTTGTTGTTGTTGATTTTTAATCACATGCATGTGAAGGGAGCATGCTGTCAGTGTGTCATCACCATTGATAATCCCTTGTCACTTGGCTCATTGCTGGTTTTCTTTAAATTCTTTTACATTCCCATCTACCTTTGGGAACAAGTCACCATGGACAGTAGTCTCAGTTGTAAAGTTTTGTTAATTATCTTCCCTATTGATACTTGAAAGACTGTATTTGAAATCATGCCTACTTTGGCATATCTGATTTCAGATGTCTATAGTATAGACATAATGTTGAGAACCTTAAATGCAGGAATTAAAAACAATGGTCTAAAGGAATGTTTTAGAGCACTATTACACTAGTGGCCGCCTGCATTTGGTTTGACCTTAAAATCTCCATGAGCTGTAAAGTGCATCAGCTGCCCTGCTCCGCTCAGATGCTGCCCAGCTCGCTCCTGATTTCAGCACAAGAAAGCCTCCCAGTTTTCCCTTACTGTTGGAGGATAATGCTTAGCATTGGATCCGTACTGAAGTGTGCCTAGTTAACACAATGCAGTACTTCTAGTTAATTTGATGGGAAGTGAGTTTTACAAGGACTCTCCTCCACACCAGGGCAACTCCTCATTTCATCCTCAGCCCCACCTGCTCCCCCACACGCAGGAGTCCCTAGGGCTCCCTCGGTAGCTGTCTCGCCTCCGTGTTGCTGGAAGAGAAAAAATTTTTGGTTTTGTCTGATTAGTCTTAATCAACTCAAGGTCTTTCTTATATTTATGAAAGAAAGATTGCCAGCTATTGGTGTCATACGCCTTCAGTCCCAGCACTTGATAGGCAGAAGCAGGCAGATATTTGTGAGTTTGAGGCCAGCTTGAGTGAGTTCCTGACAGTTACATAGAGAAACCTTGTCTGAAAAAAACAGGTTAAAATAGGATTACTTTAGCATATAGTCAGAATGGAAATGATATCTGAGTGGTAGTTCTTGAATATGTCTTAGGAAACTTTTTCAGAATTTGTGGTGAATTTTGTGATTGCCAAAATGACTTATTTTGAGGGTTCACACTTGGAGCCATTCTGTGTCATCCACAGCTGTAAACATTGTGTCTAGGTGGACTCGCTAAGTTTTTTTTTGAAGGCTGGAACTTAATGTCTTCCCTCAGGTTTGCCTGACCTTGACCTTGGGAACTGTGTAGTTGGACTTTGAGCCAGTTTCAGAATCCGGCACTGAGGGGAAAGGTTGAAAAAATACATCTTAAAGGGGTCTTTTGCTCACTTCATGGTCACTTGGAATGACAACTAGAAACAAGAGTAGTGTTTTCAATCAACCGCAGGGGAAATCCTTTCCTTGGCTTTCAGTTCCACTCTCGGTCAGTCAAACCATTCTTTAGTTCATGCGGGGATTCCCATGCCGACTGTCACAGGCTCTCATGTACGTGTGGAGTACAGGATAGCACCTCCTTTGTGTTCTCCTAATTCAGTGAGGTCTGTTCCATGTACCATTGCTGTTTTACTATTACTCATTCTTGGTATATGGACTAGCAAAATCTGAACATCAAAAAAATAGAGAGAAAATTGTCAAGTAGGTTGAAGTCTGTTTAATATGAGGCCTTTGGATATGTACTGCATATAACATGCATATTATACTACACATATATAAAGCTTTATAAAAGTTTTTATGTAGCAAGTGAGAAACATTTTTTAACAGAACAACATCAAATACAGGATCCTGACTTGGGCCTGCCTTATACCACCTAACTGTGCCCTCTTCATTAGCTGTAGGAACCATCCTTGCTCAGAGGAACGATATAGTTTTCTACTTTTTAATTTATGTGATGTGTAAGAGTGTTTTTTCTGCATGCATGCATGTATGTATGTATGTATACGTACCACATGCATGCCTGGTGCCCAAGGAAGTCAGAAGAAAGTTTTGGATTTCCTAGACCTGGTTGTGAATCACTATGTGGAGCTGGGAATTGAACCCGGGTCCTCTGCAAGACCAACAGGTACTTTTAAATGCTGAGTTTGGCCCTAGCTAGGATGTATTTTTATGGCTCATTTTTTAAGGCTTGGAAACAATCTTCAAAACAGTAACTGTTGACCCAGTTGGGGAAAATAAACTGATATGACAGCTTCTATCTAGCTGACAGTCTCATTAAATAGATGGCTGAAATTAGCACGCTTGCAAGAAAGTTGAAAAGCAAACCTGCACGGTGACCGCCTTTGCTGTTTCTTGAGTCTGTGGAAGAGCCTTGGCTTCTGAGGCTTGATGCTTGGCTTTTCTCAGTCACCCCAGTTTGAACCCCTAGGAACCAGGCACCCCATCCTTACCCCTGAAAATACAGTAGCTGGCCCTCTCCTGCATTTGCAAGCATGTTTGCACAGAAAGCAGGGAGTGAAAAGTCTTACTCAAGAAGCTGTCACCTGCCGTGGAGAAGCCAAGTCCCTGTTCTTCTGGCTTTGCTCTCAGCATTATCTCCAGCCCCCCTCAGAGGCTGTTCTCACGCAGAGAATTCCTAGAGGTTGAAGCCATCAGGGAGCAGTTGGGGAGGGAGGTATAAGAGACTCTTTTTTTCTTTTTTTCTTTTTTTCCGAGGCAGGGTTTCTCTGTGACTTTGGAGGCTGTCCTGGAAGTAGCTCTTGTAGACCAGGTTGGTCTCGAACTCACAGAGATCCACCTGCCTCTGCTTCCCGAGTGCTGGGATTAAAGGTGTGCGCCACCACCGCCCAGCTAGAATATTATTTTAAGGTGTGTTACATTTGTTTATGCTGTGGACCACTTGTTTTAATGATGCAAAGGTGTGTTACGTTCTTTTATATTACATTTGTTTAGCTCTGTGAAGCTGTGCTAATTTGCCTGTGGCCTAATAAGGAGCTGAACGGCCAATAGTGAGGCAGGAGGAAGGACAGGTGGCACTGGCAGGCAGAGAGGAGAAACAGGAGAAATCTGGGAGCATAGAGGAAGGCGTGCGGTAGAACAAAGAGAGGAGGGTCGTTATCATCATCATCATCGTCCTCATCAGTAGCCAGCCAACCACAGAGTAAGAGCGAAAGTAAGATACAGAAGTAAGAAAAGGAAAAAGCCCAGAGGCAAAAGGTAGATGGGGATAAATTAGGTTAAGATAAGATGGCTAGAAACAAACCCAAGTTAAGGCATTTATAGAAGAGAAAGCACCCCCACCCCACCCCACCCCACCCCCGTGTGTATTGTGTGGCAGGAAAGAGAAAAGAAACAACAGGCTTTGACAGCATCACATCACTGCTGTCTGTTTTCCATGGCCCTGCTTTCCCAGTGTGTTCTCTATTATCTTTATTATAACAGTTATTACTTTGTTAACATTGCATAAAATAACATTCCATAATTCTACTGGATTACAATATTCTTATGTGTGTGAATGTTTTGTCTGTGTATATGTATGTATATTACATGCATGCCTAGTGTCCATGGAGTATAGACGAGGGCAGTAGACCTCTGGAGCTGCAGTCATTTGTGAACTGCCGTGTGATGCTGGGAGTTGAATCCCTGTCCAGTGTTGCAAGAGCCACAAGGTCTTAACCACTGAGCCATCTCAAGTCTTGGTAGTAGGGTTTTTGAAAATCACAACTTCTCTTCTAAATTTGATGTCTTTAACTTGTATTTTTGTTAGGAATATTAAAAGTAAGTCATTACTCACATCCTTTTTTCCCCTATGCCATCAGGTTGCACAAATACCTGACTCCAATAGCTCAGGAAGAATATCAAGCGAAGATGGGAGGTCAGCCTGCAAGCCGGAAGGGAGAGCTCACTTGCAGTCCTCCGGTTAGCCTGGTGGTTTCCTAGGCAACCACTTAAACAGTAATTAAAGATGAAGAACTACAAGGTAAGTATTTAATAATCTTAGTTCTCAAATACAGTGGTCCGCAAGTTAGGATTACGGTGTGAGGGTTTTTTGTTGTTGTTGTTTGTTTGGTTGTTTGGGTTTTTCTTTTTCATTTAATATTAAATGAAAAAACCCTCAAACATTTAATTAGAGGGCACACACTATAATTAGGATGTGCGTGCTGTGCTTATTTTTATCTTTTTCACACTTGTCTTGAACAGAATGTCACCCCCCCACACACACACACACACGGAGAGGAGAGAGGGAGAGAGGGAGGGAGGAAGGAGAGAGAGAGAGACACACACACACACACACACACACACACACACACACACACACGGGTATTCTTATACTGGCTTCTTCCTTAAGGTTTGCGGGAAGTCCTTGAGTGGACTCACCTATATTCGGGGAAGGGACGCTTGTTAATCAGATGCTGCCGTTTTCAGTGCTGAGATTTCCCGAACTCTTCATTTGAGTTCTTTATGTGTCAGTCTCTACTTGGTTGACCCAATATTTTACTTCCCCTGAAGCCTGAACACTTAACTTCCAGGCTCTAAGGCGAACACTTATTCAGTTCCAGATGAAAGAAATAGGTGACGTTTTCTGCTGCACCAGAAAAAGAAGGAAGCCATGCTGGTATCATGACAGCTCACTCAGGCATTGAGAGCTAACAGGTCCTCAGAGAGAAGCAGGACGCACCAATGTCGGCTGTGTTGTGTAGCGTGTTTCTGCGTGCAGAAGGTCTGCAGACTAGGGTACTCCTCTGTGGAAGAACGAGGGGGTCTTTGCCCACCCTGAGTATCTGTGAGTTGTGGACAGTTTGAATGATAGCCACAATAGTTAGAAAACTTTCAGATGTCACCGTTGGTCCCCATCTGTCACCCACACGCCCGGAGACACTCCCGCTATAGGATGGTGGCGGATGATGTAGGTGTGCCCTGCTACAGCTTTTTCCTCTCTGGATTCCTGAAGCTTCAGATGGAATTGTCACAGGGGGACCATTAGGGAGCCAGGCTCTGGGGTCTACTGTAGTTTTGCCCCCTTTCCTGTGGCAAAGTGAAAATTTTAATTATGGAATTTAAATTATGGTTTTGAAATACCAGGCTATACTGTATGTGTTCCAATTTAAGAGAAGCAGCACGCAAGAGAAAGACGCTATGTGACAGGGTTCAAGTACAGGTTTTTTTTTTTTACTAGGGAAAGGGAAGTTGGGGGAGACCGGCCTCCAGAGACAGGAGCATCAAGAGAGAGGAGAAAGGAAAGGGGAACAGGGAAAAGCATGGGGCGTGGGCAGGGCCCTTTTAAAAGGGAGCATAGTGAATGTGCACAGGAGGTGCTCTTAGTACCTGCAGCTGAGGCCATAACCTGTCAGAACCCCAAGGACACGCCCGTACAGATGCCTGAATGCTAACATTGTGAGCTTCTCTAAATTAAGTTTTTAGAAAATAAAAAGGGATTATAAGTAAGTGAATATTTTGGGTCTTTGTTTTGTTGTAGTTACATCTGTTTGTTGATGTGGGGCTCATAGCGTCAAGGCTTGTATGTGGAGTAAGAGGAGACCTTGGAGGAGTGCTCAGTCCTACCATGTGGATCCAATATGTTGAACTCAGGTGGTTAGGCTTAGCAGCAGGCACCATTAGCTGAACAGTGTCCTTGGCACTAACTTCTTGTTTTTAGTATTTACTTTTTGATTTTTCTGTGAGGTGAAAATTGTCTTGTTTGTTTAGTTGACTCACCAAATGTTTTTCATTAGTCAGTGATGATACCAGGGCTTAAGATGAGGGTTGGGTTCTTATTTTGAATGTCCCAACAAATCCCCCCAAAAGAGGAGGTACGCAAATGAGTGACAGCAAAGGCTTCCATAGCACTTACATGCACCAGGTACATTGCAGGCTCTCAGGCAGGTCGTAGGTTGATACTTTAGTCTAATGAGATGCTTGCCACATTCTCCCTTCTTCCTCCAGGAAATTAACCAGAGAGGTAAAGTGTTTGCTCTGGGTTATGAATTGTGTTTGACTGATAGTGCTGTAATAGGGCTATTCAAGAGTTCCAGCAAAGCTATTGCAAAGATAGAAAACAGAGGCATAAACTTCAGTGTCAGCTTCAGACGTTCACAAGTCTATTCCTAGCAGTGAAAGGGTTAAATTTGCCCATGCAAATGAGTCCATAGGCTGAAGCAGTTACAGACACTGGAAGATGGGGTCAGGTACCAAGCAAAGCCCGTATATGTAAATCTTTAAGGAAAAGACGTAAGTCTCTACCTGTCTGGATACTCTGCCATTTTGTGTTGCATGAAGCTAGAGGAAGGACCGATGGGCACCCTCCAGATTAAAGTAGGCTGGCGGCAACTGATAGAGTGTCCCTACTTTACTGGAAGATTCAACCTTCCGGAAGGTAGCATTGCAGCCTTTACAGCAGCGTAGCTACCAGACGGTTCTTTCCACCTCTGTGTCCACGGGCACATCACCCCGGCCCACAGCCCATGCCTCTGCACACCCTGTGATTGTAATCTGCCTTGTTTTCTGCCCTTCCCAGAATTTACTGGACTTTGATTGCTCCATCTGCCTCTTTGATAGGTGGACTTTGTACTCTAAGTTTATTGCCCCATTCAATTCCCTGACCTGTTGGCAGGGTTCCTTTACATCAGTGTGCATCCTCTACAAACCACCCCAGACCCCACACACACACTCCCTAAATCTGTGTCTGCACACAGCCATGATCAGCAGGTCAGGGATTGTGTATTTGACCACACTCTTGTGTCCATCCACCACAAACATGTTGTTCCTACTCTTTCTCATCTACTAACTCTTTACCCATCATTTTCAAAAGACTTTAATTTCTGCCTGCCTTCCTCCTTCCTTCCATGTGTGTAGGGGGTTGGGTCTAGGGAGGGGGATTAGAGACATGAAGCCAAGAAGAATGGTCAGATCCTCTGGAGCTAGACTTACAGGAGGTTGTGAGCTATCTGATGTAGTCAGTGCTAGGAACTGAACTCAGGTTTTCTGGAAGAACTAACTGTAAGTGCTCTTAACTTGAGTTAAGAGCCCCTCCCCCCATCTCTACCTGTGTGTTCCTCGTTCTCACCATTATTCCTCTCAGCCGACTTAGACGAGGACCTGCTCTCCTGGCCTCAGGGCACCCTCTGACCTCTGCTAGATGCAGTGCTGGCGCCTGTCAGTTGTGGGATCAGCCCGGCACTCTGCGGAAGTAGTTCCCTGGGCTTACTCTGTATATGTGCAGAAGGTGGGCTCATTGGCAGTTTTCATAGTAGAAAGGGGCTCCCAGACAGATCAGCCCCTGCCAGAAATCTTTGTTTTCTTTCGTAGGGTCTAAGAAAGCAATTTGATAGTGAGTTAATGAGCTGTTTATCACTAGGAAGTCTGCACTTAGGGTGTCAGCCTTAATAGGTATGGTTTGGGGCCACTGGCTGTCCTGTGTTAAGAGCCCAGGAGACACATGGGGAACAGCTGGACTTGTTGAAGCACACTGAATAAATAGCATCTGGGCCTAGCAGAAGGCAGTTCTGCTCTTTGCAACACAGCCGCACCCAGTGTGTTAAAGGTGATGTGAGTACTGTTGTCTCCAGCTTTGGGGGTTGTACACCTGGCTCCTCCACTCATGTGTTAGGGGACATCTAGAGAGTCAGAGACCAAGTGAGAATGTTGATCCATTAAATGTGTTCATTCCACCTATAATCTGCTGTCCTAAGCTCCAGAGACTTCATTGCATCTTGACCCAGGCAGAAAGGCCGTTGTTCTTTCCAGAACTAGATATCAGAAGCCTGGAAGTAACATTTGCAGAGATCCTCAAGATCTGAGTAGAGGTGATAAAAACCAAAACATGGAGGAGAGGAAGCTTCCATGCTTTCCATTGTACTCTCAACCCTTAACGTCCTTAGCTACAGTTTTGATTTAAATGTGATGATGCCTAGAGCTAAGGATTCTGGGAAGTAATTGTTTCTATGAGGTCATGTGGGTGTGCTGCTATATAAAATTACACCAAGTCTACATGCCCTTTAACTCTCATAATTCCAGTCTCTTGAGCTAGGGAAAAATGGCTGTCAACATTTAATCCATTAAATCTGGGATGCTGACTTGTTTTGCTTTGTTTGTAACAGTAGCCCAAGCAAAAACCTCCCCTTCCTGTTTAATACAAAATATACGCAGGTGGCCCAAAACTTACAAGTAAATACAAATAATCCTGTGCTCTATAAAGTTTTAATTAACATCCTATTGATATCCATCCAACCAGGAAATGTTCAATGGTTAGGGATTTATTTGTGAGACCCATACTATCTAATGAGTAACCATTAGCCCACGGGATTCTTTCAGTTAAACTAAAAATAAGCAAGGGCCAAGGGGACAGCTCAGTGGGTAAAGTGTTTATACATTAAGATTGATGATCTGGAGCCCACATACTGAGCTGCATGCAGAGACTAGTACCTGCAATCCCAGCATTCCTCACTTGGGCATGGGAGGCAGAAACAGAAGCATCCAGAACCTCTCAGGCCCCTAGTGTGGGGGGATGTTGCACAGTGGTACAAACAGCAGGAGAGACCCTGCCTCAGTAGAGTGGAAGTCAAGAAGTTTGACTCCTTAAAGTTGTCCATTGACCTCCACACAGACTGAGGCACTCACATATGCCCCACCCCCCAGTTTAAATGAAGAAGTGCGTTTAAGCCTTACACTTGTCAGTCACGCTAGCCATCTCTGAGGTGCTCAGCAGCTGGTGGCTACCATGTGCACAGGACAGGTGCAGAGTGTCACCATCATTGCAAACGTTCTGTTATCAGGAATCGAGATGGATTCCAGTCATATATAAACATATACACACAGTTGGCATAATATTGTGCATACTGTTTTGCAGTTTGTTTCTTCACCCAACAGAGAAACTGTTAACTCGGTGTAATCCACATACTGGATCATGCCAGGAAAAACTGAAAAGGAATGTATTAGCAAATGTAAAAGTTGAGTAATCTAAACTTCTTAATTTCAGAGATC